TGCAGGGTGGAAGGGGTCAATGGGGAAAAAAACAAAACCAAAGGGGACAGCTGTAATACTTTGAACAATAAAAATAATTTTAAAAAAAGAATTAAGTCAGCATTAGCTGAGCATCTAATATGACCAGATATTCGCTACTATGGAACCAAAGTTCAAAATGCCAAGATTAAAACCTACTTCAGAATGCAATCTGATTATGATACCCCTTAACTTTGTGCCTGACATAGCTTAGGTGCTGAAAATTGGAATGTGAAGTGATTAGAGTGAATGGTAAGTGTTTGCATAAAGAAGCTCAGTGAGAATGGGTCAGTGTGGTCTGCTGACACTGTTGAAGTCAAGGGCCTTGTGGGGGTAGAAGCATCACGGAACGGCTGATACATAACCTCTGGGTCGCAAAGGATGAGGCAGCTTTTGGCCTGTGGCCCAGGAGGGGCGAAGGATGTTCCACACACAGGAAACAGCTCCAGGGAAGGCCAGCTGCTAGAGGCAGGTGGTTCAGGGCAGATGACATAGTGAGAACGCCCTGCGATGGGTCTGGGGATGAAGCCTCAGAGGTTGGGGCACAGGGGGGCAGAAGGGGCAGCAATGACTGATGCCACGCGGCCTGGATTTTATCTGGCAACGTATAGAAAGCCCTGGAAGGCATTCAGGAAGTAACATGGGCAAAACAGATCTGGGCTGTCAAGCAACCTATTTTGTTAGTCCGTAGAGGACAGAATAACTACCTCTCCTCCCATTCCCTTGGGTAGATCCTGTCTCATAAAATTTGCACAATAATACAGATGCTCACGGGGGAGGAGGGCACTGATTTTTGGTATAAGGATGTTTCTAGGGTTGCTTGGGATATACTTATACTGAAAGGACTATCCCTTGTTTTTCTGACATGCAAATGCAATTGAGTGGCCTGTACTTTTATTTGCTAAATGGGGCAACGCCAGCCTTGGATTCTCTCTGGCTCAGACCCAGAGCGGACACTGCCTCTGAGAAGCAGGACCAGGAGGAAATAAAGCTCGTGCTATTAGGAGTCGGGAGATGTTTTACAGAATCATGGTCAGTATGATCTCCCCCTGATCTGCTCATTCCCCAGGAGAATCTGAAATCTGAAAACAATGGGCTTGGCACTGAACAAAGAGCTGGCGTGTTGCGGGACTGCTGGAGGGGAAAATAATTGAACTTAGAATAATAACTTATCTGTTCAAGCAAATGCCAGTACACTTAAAATAAGGAAGCCCTGGAGTTTCCCAGCATGTGCAGAGTGCTAATGTCTGTATCACAGGTTGATGGCAAGAATTTCCTTAGGAAGCATGCAAGCAGCGGCCTTCTATGATGTTTTCTGTTTTTTGAACACTGGCTGTAGCTCACATTAGCTTGTAGAGCATTGATTTTGTGCTTGGCATGTAGGACATTGCTCCTACTCACACCTAATATTTTACAAGCCTCTCCCCATTGGACCAAGTTAAGTTCAGAGCTCATAAAAAGTTAAGTTCACATAAAAAATAATTGGATCATAACAGCCACTGGGCATAGCAATTATTTGGAAATTTTAATATATAAATGAATAATTTTTATTTAGAAAAACTTCCATGACCAAACTCCATCAAATCTAATTTTCCCGGAGAGTTAAGCTCATATTCTAGTAGGTTTTCCCCTACATAACTGAAGAGAATTTTTTAGCAAGAGCTTCAATAAGCTTCCTTCTGCAGGAATAATTTTGTGATTTCATGCAAGGAAAATCTCTCCTGGAGGTAAGTGAGAGATGAAGCTGTGAGAAGTTACACTCGGAATCGTTAGTTTTCTTTCCTCTTCCAACCAAATGGCCAGAGAACATTTTCTCTTTGGATTCTTTGATTGTATTTTTTTTTTCTAGAAGCAAGCAGAATATTCACAATACACTTTAACTGAAATTTGCCTTAAGCCTTATAAATTGTATGTCCGTGAACCTTCTGAGGTGGGAAAACCCTAACAATTTCAGTTCGAGAAATTTAGGCTCCCCTTTGCTTAAGCCAAGTTGTGGGATTCCTGGTTTTCCTGGGGATAAAGTATTGCTGAGGACCACTTCTAATAGACTCCACAGCCTGACACTTACGAGCACCTACTAAGTGCCAGAGATGGATTACAGGCCACATCATGGGGAATCCTTCATCTGGGCCCTGCTAGTGAGTGAACCATCACAAAACCCACCTTCGGCAAAAAGGGCAGACACGACTATTTTTCCTTTTCTCCAACATATTCAAATACTTAAATGTTTTACATTGCAAGCTCCAATGAGGTAAACATGCAACATATGAGCTATGATATTATGAAGAATTTATAAATTATTAAATGGCGGGGAAATAAGAGCTTTACTATCTTATTCTGTTAGAATGGAAAACAGGAATCCCGTTAAAAAGCTTATTAGCTTATTCTATCATCGCCTAACCTCCGCACATCATCTTGCGTCTTATTTTTCAATTACTTCCTAATCTTTACAGCTTTCCTTTGGATCTTGTGTCTTTTTGGTTAGAGAAACAAGGAAAGTATTTGTCTAAATGTGAGACTAAAACTATCTGCGAGTCCCATATTTTCTTCTTTTTATACTTAGTTTTAGGCATAGCCACCTTGCTGCCCCAGGTCCTCCTTAGCACTTTTGACCCCTAAAACCTTTCCTCTTGTTTTTCTATTTTGTTTTAAAATAGTCTGTATGCATGCATGTACATATTGAGATAAATGTATCTCTGAATGATATCACAGTTATGAGCTGTAGTTAGAAATTTTATATATATATACGTACACATATATACATATGTAAGTATATATGTACATATTGGCAATATGTACATTATATATATACTATATATACGTATATTATATATATACACGCTAGAGACCCAGTGCACAAATTCGTGCATGGGTGGGGTCCAGCCAGCCCACCCTGATCTGGTCGATTGGGCTGGGCCAGTTGGGGGGCAGGGGACGTGAAAGTTGGCCCCACTCCCTGGTCGAACTCCCAGTCGAGGGGACAGTTTGCATATTAGCCTTTTATTATATAGGATTGCTGATAGTTAACAATTGTCAATGACATTGAGCTGGGCTTTAGACATTTCCTAAACACAGTTCTTGATGTTTCTGGAAACCAGAAAGCCTGTACTTTTCACCTGCAAACCCTTTATGTGCAGGTGGCAAAACATTTATGAAAGGCAAACCTAACCCAATTTTCTTTATCTGTTTAAAAAAAGAGAAAGCAAAAAACTTCGAAGATATCCACCTGGGTAAAAGGAAATTAGGTTGCTCTGCTTTGTCTGTGCAATTCATTTAGTTGCAGTGAAACTAGACCCCATCCATTTATAAGAGGACTCAGACACTCAAGTCTCAGGGCATGTTGAACACACACAGAGGACGTAATCGGAAAGGTAATCTGTGAAGACCGTTAGGGTATACTAAGTATTCAGGTAATGCATTAGTTTGCAAACCCCAGTAGCATGCTTTTCTGGAAAAAAAAATCATTCTTCAAACAAAAGTGTTCATTTTAGAAACAATACAGAGAGGACGATAAACATCAACATTTTAAAAAATCTAATCCCATCGACTAACATCTTTGAACTTATGGCTGCTTCTGTGTTTGATGTTCTGATCTGGCACACGTGCTTTCTAACCATAAGTGAATCTATATCACTCTTTCTTTTAATGAAACAGTCATGACAGGTACTTCCATTTTAAATATTGAGGAACTATATATATATATCTATTTGGCTCATTGATATACTTTTAATTTTTTTTGAAAAATAAATGCAATACATGTAACTTCTATAGGATTTCTTTTTAAAAAATAAAGGAATACACTTTGGGAATAACAGCATTTCAGGGCTGGTTCATTTAAAGTATGCTTAGCCGCCCTCCTTCCCCCCAGCATTTAAAAAAAAATAACAAAATGCGTAGCAATGCAGTCCTTGGAGAAAAATATTTTTTTTAGTAGTTTGCTATTTCGGAATCATGCTCTGAAAGTGGAGAGAGGGTGGAGGTGTAAGGATAGTTTTCATCTTTATAGGAGAGGGGGCAGGACCAACCCCCAGCTCAGCCTCCCTCAGCGCATCACCAAGCTACTAGGAAGTTCTGTTGCTTGGTGATAACTAAAACCCAAACTAAATGCCTGTTAGGGGGCTTCAGGCTTCATTTCTCTAACCCTGATAAAATCCAGCGGTATTATATTCACTTCTGATAAAAGTTAAGTGTGCCCCTGCCACCTTTAAAAGGAATGTCTAGCTTCTTGGTTTCACTCCCATCATTAACAACACCCTTAAAATATACATATTTTTCAGGATAACGTTATTAGATGATATTTTGATAATATCCTATGATTCACTATGATTAGAATTATTTTGACACTGGCTGTTATTAACACTGGCCCACAGATAATCAATGATTATTTCAACAGGAATCTGATAAACCTTACAAACTTTTCAAATTCCCTGTGCAACCAGTGTTACTGTTGTAAATTTGTATAAGTGTCATCATCAACCCAATTCTTAACAGGCAATATAGTCCTGAATGCTATGTTGGCTGCCAAACCCATTTTTTTCTTTCTTTCTTTTTTTTGCCAGTCTAGTTTCGGCAAGTATAGACCCGATAAGCCATTCCTCTGTTGAGTGACCCTCTTCATAAGAGACAAATCTGCCCTGGCTGGTTTGGCTCAGTGGATAGAGAATCAGCCTGCCTACTGAAGGGTCCAACGTTCGATTCCAGTCAAGGGCACATGCCTGGGTTGCAGGTTCAATCCCCAGTGGGGGGCATGCAGGAGGCAGCCGATCAATGATTCTCTCTCATCATTGATGTTTCTATCTCTCTCTCCCTCTCCCTTTATCTCTGAAATCAATAAAAATATTTTTAAAAGAGACAAATCAGATTATGTGCCATCAGAGGAAGTGAATCTTAGTGCTAGTGCGATAGAGACCGATTCATTTCTTTTGCTGAAGTCCCACCCTCTGAGTGACAGCCGGATGACAAAATGTCAAGAAGGAGTCCTGTTGGAACAATTGCTTAGGATGGTGTTTAATACAGCAGAGAGCCAAGGTACAGTAGGAGGACACATAAAGAATGCGGAGTGTGCAGACACAATAACGGACCGCGGCTGGTGATCTGCCATCTGTGACTTGAGAGAGGAGTAAGTGAGGGGACTTGAGGACTCTCAGTTCTCCGTACATGCAAAGGTGAGCGCGTTAGTACAAAAGTTTTGCCATTGTATGTGCTGAAAGGAAAGCATATGCATTTAAAACATTTTCTTAAAAAATAAATCACTCGATAGCTGTAAGAAAAATACTCTAGTTCATAGTCCATTGACCTGACCTTTTGAGTCAAGATCAGGGAATGACTCCAGGATGAAAACCAAAACACAAAACAGAAATGAATCATTGACCACGGAAGAGGCAGTTCCAGTCTCAGCTAACCTCGACTAGTGTTTATTGCATTATTTTTGAAATGCCAAGAAACTGGCTTTGGCCATAATATTTGCTGTCCAACTAAATCACAGCTGTCAATAGGCAATTGCTTGCGATGATTAGCTAAACACCATTATTTGACAAGTTCCCTGGCAAGGGACGCAGATGCTGTCGATGTCTGACACACACGGAATTAGTAAGTAATAGTCCACCCGGCTGGGCTGCAGAGCAGGGAGAGAAGGTGGTAAATTGTTGCCCAGAGAAGGGGTTTCAAACAGCCTTAATTTTTTGAAAAACACACGTTTGTACAGATCCTACAAGTCCTTTCTGGTGTTTCAGGAATGACTTGTGGGACGGACCACAGAGAAGGGGAAAAGCCACTAACTCTAGATTTATTTTTTAAAAGGAGATTAAGGAAGGGAGGAAGAAAAACAGAAATGGAAACGTGGGATGGTAATGGTTTCCACCACCTAGAAAAGGAACATCATGGAACCTGCTAGCAAGGCCCACCAAAGCAGGAAACCCCTTCGCTGGCAGAGATTCAGTACAACATTCACATGAATTAGCAACGCCACCAGCACCACGGGCTGCTGTTTAAAGAAACAATATTCAAAAACAGAATTCTCAAAGGACTTGAGAAAAACAGTGAAAAGGCAATGCTAGCCAAGCTCGTAGCTAAGTCCACTCTTAATGGCCCCCAGTATTTAAACGATCATGGAGTAAAGCCATGAAAATAAAAATTTCAATTTGAAATTTTATTAGCATGTTGCTAAAATGGTCAATAAAAACATCAACACGATATGCTTGGTTGACATAGTTGGAGCACTGCCCCCTCATTTTTTAAAACTTTATTTGCACTTCCCCACCTTTTAAGATTTCTATGTTAGGAAAAGCCAAACTAAATAGACTGGCTCTGGCATTGTCATAATGCTGGTTTCTGGAACATTGCCTCGTCTTCTCTCTCCCTCTCCTCCAACCCCTTTATAAATAGGATGATTTTTGAAATGCAGCCCAAGGAGGGAGCAATGTAGGGTGAAGATCAACAAGCGCCCTTCTCCTTGCCTGGGGCGGGGCCTGCGCTCCTCCCCAATCAGCTGGCCATTTCCCTCCGGGGAAGGGGACAGGGAAGGCTTCCCTTCTGTCAGGCTGGGGGCCTCACAGGGAATGCGGGGTGGGAGGGCGTGGCGAGCGCTTCCCCCGGTGGAAATCATAGGAAACAAACACTGTCTAGCTTAGCCCGCAGCCTGGAATACAAAACCAGCAGGCCTGGGGGCTGGAGAGCTGGAACAGTCCCGGGCAGCCTCGGGGTGACCCTGAGTCCCCAGGTGCTCTCTCGTGGTGGAATGATTCACTAGTGCTTAAGGGACAGGCTCGATTTCTTGGAAATCCTGCAATCTGGGGACACATCCATACAGGAGTGAACTGCACCCTGAAAAGATCCATCATCCTCCCCTCCGACAGGCCTTCCGGTGGCTTTGGGGGCGGTGATGGTGCCTCTCTAGTAGGTGGGGAGGTCGTTTCTGAGCAGTGACTCATGGGGGCAGTGGAGTCCCTGCGCCCCTCAGCCCATCCTCCCTCTCCCCCTTCTAACGCGAGGGGAAACACACACTGGTTCCCAGCAGGATTACCGCCACGGGGGTCTCCGCCGCGCGCGCGGCTGTCCGTTTGGTCCCAGTCCCGTGGCCGGTTCCTGAGACTTCAGGCCACTTGCTAGAGGGGTGCGCG